ACCCCCAGGGGGTGGTTTCTTGCTTTCTGTCTCTCTGTCTCTTCAGCAAGCACATGCGCCCTATAATACCAAAAAAAAACCTCTCTCTCTAAAAAAAAAAGTAGGCTGCTGGGGCCAGCAGGGGGCATGGGGGTTTAGGTGCTGGACTCCCACATGGCTGACCATGGTTCCAGTCCCAGACCTGGTGGCTTGCTTTCTCACTTTCCTTCTCTCTCTCTCTCTGGTGACCACGTGTGACCTATAGCAAAAAAAAAAAGAAAAAAAGAAAAAGAACATAGCTTACCTAATGGTGCTTCCATCTTGATCAGAGTGGGTGAGAGTCAGGGTAAACAAGTAGAAACAGAACCAGCTGGTGTCACAGTTGTAACACAGTGCTCTACATGCCAGAGGCCTCACTGGACATGTCATGAGTACACATGCCCGTCATGCAAGCTGGCTGAGGTTGGAAGCCAATCATGGTGCGAAGACCCTATTGGGAGTGCCTCTCTCTCTCTCACTCTTCCTCAGACTCTCTCTCTGGCCTTGTCTAATGGAAGAAATAGATTTGTAGTTTTTGTTTTGTTTTATTTTATGTGAAGAAACAAGAGAAATGGTTACAATAGTTACATGTACCATTTGAGTTTCCCGGGCTAAAAAAGGGCCACAGGAAGTTAGAGCTCCAGCCCCCAGCCCCTTCCAGGCTGGCCCAAGTCTCACCAGTTTATATGTGGGTACTCACAGAGGGGGCACACAGATGTTTACAAAAAGGCCTGAACTCATCATTCGATGAACCCTCAATACAATGGAAAAAAAAGAGAAGATTTGTCCCAGAAGACCTTTAAGAAACCCTGAGACTCATGTTACAGCCTCTCTTTTTCTCAGGAAACAGATGGCATCAACAAACAATGCCTCTTCCTACTGTTCTTGGCTAGTAACCTCAAAATCTGTATGCCCTTTACCCAGAAAGACACTCCACTTTCGCCTTCTTTCTTTCTTTCGCCTAAAGCCTCTTTTCTTGGAGATTGTACTGGCTCACTTTCTAGGTTTCTTTTTTCTTTTTTTTTCCAGAAAAATTTTTGCTATAGGACATGTGTGCTTGCCAGAGAGACAGAAAGCGAGAAATCACCCCCCCGGGGTCATGGCCACACCGCAACCCCTTCTCCTCCAGTATCCTCTTGGGATTCTGGACACATATCTACATGCACCCAGTGAAAGTGGGTCTGAAACTTGAACTGTGGTTGACTACGTGGTAGTCCAGTGACATAACCATTACACCATCTGCTGGTCCCATCACCTAGGTTTCCATCGGAGAACATAGAGACGCTTGCCCTTGAGGTGACTTGAGGTGAATCAGATGAGAGAGAGCTATGATCAGATGTCACCAATAACCTCCCTCACATGAGGTAAAAGAGATGTGAGTGGTTGCCACCAGGAGCGCACCTTTTTTTTTTTATATATAGTTTCTTTTATTTTCTTTCCTTCCTTTCTCTCTCTCTCTTTCCTTTCCTTATTTTTTCTTCCTTTCATGATCAAGAGAGAAAGAAAGGGAGAGAGAGAGAGAAACAAGAACCCTCAACAAGGTCTCATAACACGATCCTCCCCACCCCCTGCCGTCCCAGCTAGCCAGGATCACGGGCACATATCCGCATGCCTTGCACGTACAAGCTGATCCAGGAAACAAATTCCAGTGTTGCGCATGGCCTCCAGCATTGCAGAATGTTGCGGTACCACTGCCCCCCTCTGACTGGTCCAGGAGCCCACTATTTTTTTTTTAACTTAGTTTTTATTTTATAATTATAAACTCAACTTGCAATTCAGCTAGATTTGGAGGAGAATAAGGAAAATATGGAGCCCAAAGAACAGCAGCGAAATCGCAGGTTACAGAGACATAGCGAGCAGATGGGGTGGAGGGTGCTCTCCTAAGCCACAGACGGAGTGGTCTGGTGGTTAAGAGAAAACACAAGTCAAATTCATCTGAGTTGTCCACAGTCAACAATCACGATCTTCTTGCTGGCCTTGCCATTCTTGGACCCAGAGTGCTCCATGGCTTCCATTCATGCCCTCTTTTACCTTGCCAAAGTCCACACGCTTGCCATCCAACCACTCAGTCTTGGCAGTGCACATGAAAAGCTGAGAACCGTTTGTGTTGGGCCCAGCATTTGCCATGGACAAGATGCCAGGACCTGCATGTTTCAAGATGAAGTTCTCATCATCAAATTTCTCCCCAGAGATGGACTTGCTGCCAGTACCATTAGGGAGTGTGAAGTCACCACCCTGGCACATAAAACCTGGGATAATTCTGTGAAAGCAGGAACCCTTGCAATCCAATCCTTTCTCTCCAGTGCTCAAAGCACAGAAATTTGCTGCTGTCTTTGGAAATTTGTCTGCAAACAGCTCGAAGAAGATGGAACCCAAGGGCTCGCATCGACAGCAATGTTGAAGAACATGGTGGGGTTGACCATGGCTGATGGCAAGGAACTCAGCCGGCAGCATCTGCAAACCTGGAGCACCCTATTTTTAAGGAATGTTCTAAGAGGTATCTGAATGCATTTCCCTTGTACGACATCTGTCTGCCTTCATCTCAGAGCTTGGTTGTCAGCAGCAAATAATATTCACTATGTTTGTCCCTGGGTCTAGTGAGCCAGGCCAGCCTGGGGGCTGGGGATGTTTGAACGTTCAAAGAAATTCTGCCTTCCACAGAAGGCCAGAAGTCTGGATGTCTGAATTTTGTTTAGCATTGTCTGAGATAGGGACAAAGGAAAATTTATAAAACAAAACAATCAATCCCCTTTTTTTAGAATTATTTACTTACTTTTAATTATTATTTTAAAATTTGCTATAGGGCATGTGTGCTCACCAGACAGAGAGAGAGAGAGAAAGAGAGAGAAAATGAGAAAGCAAGTCACCAGGTCTGAGACTTGAACTCTGGTTGGCCATGTGGGAGTCCTGCACCTTAACCACCATGCCATTTGCTGCTCCCAAACAATTTCATTTTTAAAGATGTAACTATCTTGTGTCAGTTTGTACCTAGAAGTCTTTCTCTTGTTATAACCAAAGGAATCTAAATATGGGCTACCTGGTGGAAAGAAGATCCACCAGTTCGGTGTATCTACTACATTTTCCTATTAGCTCCATAATTTCAAACTCTTTTCTCTCTCTCTCTCCCTCTTTTTTGGAGGTTTTTGCTATAGGGCGTGTGCGCTCGTTAGAAAGA